AAATAATTAGTAAAGTGTTTCAGGTTTGTTTCACATAGGGACCAACCAAACCTTCTTTTAAAGTTTGCTGTAATGTTTTAGCTACAAGTATTATGTTCATTCTTTCCAACTAAAGAACCATTAATTTTCCAGCACACACTACTTTTTGCTATCAGTTCTGATCTTTAGAGAAGCTAGAATATATAGCACAAATCCAGTTAGTTCTTTTAAATTCTGATGAGAAGAGCATAACTTTCTCCACAATTACATATGTTACTAACATCTCAAAAACTAAAGAGCTTTTTGTAACAAGAATATTCCTTTTATGTGTCACAAGTATTGCATAGGTGAATTAAAAGATACTGTACTAAGCAGTTGGGAACCAGAGAGGGGAAAAATCCAAACAGCAAAATAACATCCCAAAACACAAAGACAAAATGAACGTCAAAAACCCACTGCCATTCAGTCTATTCTGACTCATGAGTCTACCCTGAAAGACAGAGCAGAACGCTCCATAGGTTTCCAAGGGACATCTTTACAGACGCAATTTCCCTCATCTTTCTCCGAGGGAACAGCTGGGGCTCAAACTTGGCATCCATCGCACCATTAAAAACTCCCAAATGAACATTCGTTTACCTTAAGATAATGCAATTACATATTTTGGAATACAAATCCATTTTTCATACTTACACACATTTCTTTCAATGTGCATAAATTGACAATCATATTTCAGAACAGTCCGTAATATACCAAATTAAAGAATACCACAGAGTCAGCTATAACTCAAATTTTTTTAATTTAAAATGCCAGTTTAAACAAGGAGATAAGGAAATAGAATTTAAAACCACAATCAGCAGAGAAAATAATTCCAAACAGCCCTGGGGGGCACAACTTTGATATAGTATAGTAAGATTTGTAGGGTTCAACTTTTGATACAGTAATAACAAGTAGTTGAACAAAAATTCAGAAGCAAAAATATCTCTGAAAGATTTTGCTTCGAATTATGTCTAATACACAATATATAATAAATCTAACACAAGCAAACATATCAGTTAATTTAATAGCTGTAGTGCTCATGCACCATGTACCAAATAAAAGTTAATTAGTGTACCATTCTACTGTTAAGTCACAGTCAATTTCTATATATAATTCTATATTAATATATTTACCAATTCTTCACTCCCATATTAAAAAGTCAATGTTTATTTTATATTTGGAATTTCTCTCCAAATTGATATTTTATAAACTAGTCCACCAAGATCAAGCTATATATAAACTGTAGAATTCACTGAAAAGACTCAATTTTTTTTGTTTGCTTTTAGCATTGCTTTCTTGTTTATAAGCAAAGATTTCATATGAGTAGGATACATAATAATTCAGTGGATTCTATTTTAAAGATATACTTTCATTTAATCTTCATAATCTAAAAATATGGATCTGCACATCACTACATGCAATTTATATTTTTTTGTTGAAACAAATTCTTATTTCTAAGAATTCTTGAAGTTGAAACAAATTATTATTTCTATGTAAATATCTTCTTACTAAAAGCAACCTGAAAGTTACTGAAACAGTTTAAAGAATACAAGTCTTCAAAAAGTAGTAAATTAAACAACTATTAATAATCCAGCTTATTTTCCAAGCAAATATTATTGCAATTTAACTGCCTGAATAACAAAGAATTCTAACTTTATTCCTTTTCCCCACAATCCATATCAGTACATTGAAGCAAAAAGAAAAAAATACAGCAGCAGCTACTTAGGAAACAGGTCTGGGAGTATTCCATACAGACTTACAGAGTTTACAGCTCTCTGAATACGGGAGAAAAAACTGCCATCCTCCCCTGTACCGAGTCACTAAAGAAATATTCTAAAAACCGTAATTCTAGCAAGTAAAACAAAAGAATGTACGATGCTGGGGTTCCTTTTGAAACATGAAACGGCTTATAGTTCGTTACTTGTATGATCCTTACTTGCTACCAAAAAACAAATCCATTGCCATCAAGTTGATTTCAACTCATAAATTGATTCCAACCCCAAACGATCCTGTACTTCTTCAGATCAACTTACTGAACATGCCATTAATAAGAGTAAACTTAAAAATATGAAAAAAGTCTAAGTATAAATCTTGTAAGGTATGGCTTAGCATGATTCTTTAAAACCCATATAGATTTATAACAAACACACCAAAAAAGGTTTTTATCTAAATAAAAAAAGGTTTTTAATACGGAGAGCTCTGACATCAATTGCCAATCTGAGCAACTGTTCTTCCAACTTGGGACACTGCAGTACCCTCAGAGACAAGATAGGAAGGAGCCCTGGTGGCACAGGGTTTAGAGTTGGGCTGCTAACTGCACGGTCAGCAGTCCTTCAGGGGCGTGAGCCGGAGGCGGCTTGCTAGCAATAGACTATTCTGAAAGTCAGGGACAGTTCTAGCCTGCCCTGTAAGGTCGCCATGAGTCAGAACTGATTTGATGGCAGTGAGTTCTTTGCAAGCGACGACAACGCAGACTCGTAAGTTAAAACTGGCATTTCAAGAAATATAATTTTATGTTAGCTTTATTCTATATTTCAGCCGTTTGAAAGCCACAACCCATGGATGAAGCCTTTATTTTTTTCAAGTGCACGACTGAATAAAAACATTTCATGGTGTACATATTATGTCCAAATGCATTATTTTCAAGGTGTATCAAATGTGTGGGGAATGCTCACTTACACACTGTATACCTCAAAAATTCTTGTCCGTGACACATAGAGACAATGCTTTGTAAGTGAAATTACACATAAGCCTAATGAAAACTATGAATTGTGTCCAAGAGCTAAGTAGTTTTAAAGGCGTAGTGACAGTTACAATGTCCACGAGAGAAGGGGAAGGTAGCAATTAGTCCACTAATAAATTGAGGATTTTTAAAGCATGGTTATTTTTTCAGCATCAACACTACCTTAAGATACAAAAACTGATTGCATGAATGTACCCTTAAAGATTCCAGAAAACAACAAAAACCAGTCTCTGGTACAGGTTCTCTGAGTGTATCCTAGAAGCGTCTGACATTTAATTACACAGGTGTAAGCATAGCGATTAACTGTTGCTAGTTATCCTGCTGGAGATAAATACTATACACTCCACATCTGCAACCTCATTTTACTTCAGCATCCCCAGAGAATTCAAAAACATTTCTCTAAGTAGGCTGCAGAGCAGTGCTTCCGCTTTTATTCTCATCACCCCCGTTATGATAAAAAGCAACAGAGACAAGAAAATCAAATCCCTAATTGCAAAGGCCGAAAGTGTAAAACTCTCGAATCGGTCTTCATTCCACCTGTTTGTAAACGCCATACTCCCAAAATAACACAAACCCTCTAGTGATATCTATACATATTTTTAAAAGACCAATTAGTGGCTTGGAGTCATTATTCTTCTACCTAGGCGTGGGGCAGGGGAGGGGGATGGTACAAAACAATGGACACACAGGGGCTGCGGGGGAAAATGGTTTTGTCCCGGAGCCTCCAGCGCTTCCGAGCTTGGGGGCGGGGAAGGGGGGGGTGGAGTACTTTTCCTCTATCCCTAAAAGCCACCGCGGAGGGAGGTGGCCATCAGGCATGTTCAAGGCGATCTGGGATGGTTACAACTCGCTACGCCAAGCAACACACCCAAGGCCGACTCACCACTCCCACCTCCCCAAGGGGCTTTAGACACGACCAGAGTGGTGGGCTTGGCGGGGCGGGGTGGGGGGTGGGGGAGCCCCA